AAAGGATTAATGAGTCCAGTTCTGGAGGCTGGGATGAGAGAAAAGCAAGGGGGTAAAATGGGGAGGAAGATGAATTCAAACAGTCATAAAAGGAATGTTCTGAATTGCAGTCTTAAAGATCACTGAATAAAAGTTAATAATTGCAAACAACTCTACTTTGGTTAAAATATTATTATGGAGTAAAGAAGAAATGCCCTCCATAGGTTCATGCATTTCAACACTTGGTCCACAGTTGGTAGGCAGCCTTTGCAAAGGTTATAGAACCTTTTGGAGGTGGAGCTTTGCTGGAGGAAGTATGTCACAGGGGGGGCAGGCTTTGAGGGTTTACCCTACTTCCTGTCTACTCTATTTCCTGTGTAGGTTAAAAGTTTGATCTGTGGGCTTCTTGTTCCTGCAGCTATACCCTGCCTTCCCTGCCATTACAGACGCTTACCTCCAGAAGAAAATGTTTTTCCCTTAGGTTACTTCTTTTGTCATGGCACTTTATCAGAAACTACACAGGTAGAGGCCGAGGAAGGGACAGACATTCTGGCAATGAATCAACATTACATTAGCTTACTTAGTTATAAGGATGTAATTCTAAGCCAAATATTATGGTGCATGCTTTTAGTCCCAGCACCTGGGAGGCAGAGGCAGGTGGATCTTTATGAATTTGGGGTCAATTTGGTCTACATAGTGAGTTCCTGGCCAGTGAAGGTATATAGTGAGACTCCATCTCAAACAAACGAAAGGAATGTGGTTCTCTGGAGCTGGAAAATTTAAAAAGCATCGGGTGTTTGTTCTTCTAGAGGACCTGAGTTTGAATCCCAGCATCCACATGGCACTTGCAAACATTGGTAACCATGGGAAAATATCCATACACCAAAAAAAAAAAAAAAAAAAAAAAAAAGAATAATTAAAACCAACCAAACAAAATGTTACTGAACAGTCCTGGAAGCTCTTGCTCAGCTCCTCCCTATCTCCCCTGTGAACTCAGCAAATTCTCTTTCCTTCAACACCTCTGAGTTCCCGTCGCTGCACTCTTAGGAGATCCTCTTTCCTTGCTTGAGGGTGGAAAGAGACTAGTGGGCAAGGACTCTCTGGACTTAGCAGGAATAAAATGTTTTGTCTGTTAATTTAAAAAGTACTTATTGCCGGGCAGTGGTGGCACACGCCTTTAATCCCAGCACTTGGGAGGCAGAGGCAGGTGGATTTCTGAGTTCGAGGCCAGCCTGGTCTACAGAGTGAGTTCCAGGACAGCCAGGGCTATACAGAGAAACCCTATCTTGAAAAACCAAAAAAAAGTACTCATTTTATATATATATATATATATATATATATATATATATATATATG